TACAAACTTTACCCGAGTCATTTAGACAGCCGTTAGCACATGACTCTCCTTATGGGGACCTGATATGTTTAATATTGTGGCGAGCTCAAACAAGGAGGAGACGGAGGTGTCGTTTGGTCTTGCTTCCCGTGAGCTAGCCAGGGAGCACAGCCGTTTATTGACATCTGCAGAAGAACACTGCCGCTAGCTAACTGCTCAGCGCGGCAACCGCACAGCAACAACAACACACAGGGCGCCCTCTGACCCCGGAAGGACACACCGTCGCAGCGAGAGGGCGTCACCCGTCACTATGGCAACATAAACAAAACATAACTGTACAAACAGAACCCCGAACAGCCCTGACCCGCTACATAGCCCCCACCTAAGGGGTCAGTCGTCCCCGACGACCCCATTACCCCACACAAAGTCCTGCAAATGTCCAGGTGCCTTCTTTTGGCGCACGGCCGGTCACGACCGGCGGGGGGAAAGTCACTCGGGTCAGAACATGGGGTGCCCACTTCTGACACCAATGTGGCGAGCTCAGACAACAAGACGGAGGTGTCGTTTGGTCTTGCTTCCCGTGAGCTAGCCAAGGAGCACAGCCGTTTATTGACATCTGCAGAAGAACACTGCCGCTAGCTAACTGCTCAGCGCGGCAACCGCACAGCAACAACAACAACAACACACAGGGCGCCCTCTGACCCCGGAAGGACACACCGTCGCAGCGAGAGGGCGTCACCCGTCACTATGGCAACATAAACAAAACATAACTGTACAAACAGAACCCCGAACAGCCCTGACCCGCTACAATATGCTGCTGAGAATATAGCCCAGAAGAAGCGTATAGTATAGCTTTTATTTTGGAAAGAGCCATTTCTCTGTAATAAACTCTCTTTTCCAAAGATGAGTGATTCCTCAATCAGATACAGGTGTTACCGCGCCAGATCCGCGGCCCCGAACCGTAGTAAGGAAACCTCTGGCAGTTACTTGAAGGTTCCGTAACTGACTCGTAGCCGGCAACAGCTTACTATACAGGTCAACTCCGCTAGCAAAAAGATCGAAGGAGGCGTAGGAAACTGCTTCACCGAACTTTATTTCTTCTCTAAGGCACGAACACCGCGTACAGTGGGCTGAAACAGTTTACTCACAGCGAGCATCGCCGACACAACTCTGGCTGTCGAGGGAGTTATTATATTCCTTTTATTTATTTTCTTTTCGTCTCTTCTGTAGCTAACCGTTACTTTTTCCCCTTCTCCGCTCTCTCTCTTCACACACACACCAGGCAGTCCCGCTACACACATCCCGAATACATTTCCCATCAGGCTTCATCCTTAAAGGGCCATGCCTGTAACACAGGGCTTGCAAAATCGCTAGCCCGACGTCCCGGGGCTAGCGATTTTTCCAGTCGGGGTACCAAAATCTATCTCTGCCCTGCCCGTCGGGCTATTGTAGGAAGGAAAAATATATGTCAATGCTTTTGCATTCTTTCAGAAATGTAGCTGGGTAATTATGTCATTGGCATCGGTGAGCCACTGTCAATATGTGACATATTGAAATCGCGTTTGAATTTGCGCTTGTTTTTTGCTTTCACTTTGCAAATGTCCAGGTGCCTTCTTTTGGCGCACCGGCCGGTCACGACCGGCGGGGGAAAAGTCACTCGGGTCAGAACATGGGGTGCCACCATCATCCCACTTCTGACACCAATGTGGCGAGCTCAGACAACGAGGAGACGGAGGTGTCGTTTGGTCTTGCTTCCCGTGAGCTAGCCAGGGAGCACAGCCGTTTATTGACATCTGCAGAAGAACACTGCTGCTAGCTAACTGCTCAGCGCGGCAACCGCACAGCAACAACAACACACAGGGCGCCCTCTGACCCCGGAAGGACACACCGTCGCGAGAGGGCGTCACCCGTCACTATGGCAACATAAACAAAACATAACTGTACAAACAGAACCCCGAACAGCCCTGACCCGCTACAATATGCTGCTGAGAATATAGCCCAGAAGAAGCGTATAGTATAGCTTTTATTTTGGAAAGAGCCATTTCTCTGTAATAAACTCTCTTTTCCAAAGATGAGTGATTCCTCAATCAGATACAGGGCTCGCAAAATCGCTAGCCCGACGTCCCGGGGCTAGCGATTTTTCCAGTCGGGCTACCAAAATCTATCTCTGCCCTGCCCGTCGGGCTATTGTAGGAAGGAAAAATATATGTCAATGCTTTTGCATTCTTTCGGAAATGTAGCTGGGTAATTATGTCATTGGCATCGGTGAGCCACTGTCAATATGTGACATATTGAAATCGCGTTTGAATTTGCGCTTGTTTTTTGCTTTCACTTTGCAATCGCGTGAACTGTGTATAGAGAGCGACAGCACTGATTGGTGAGTGATGATAATTTGCGCACCAATTCCTCTGACATCGTCTTATCAATCGTTAGCTTACTATGCAAACATGACAAGTGAAATCTCCCGCAGCTTAAACATGTGAGAGGTTGATCGCGCAGAGAATCGCTGACCGTTATGTGTGTGTGTGTGTAAAAGCAGCAGGATATATATTTTAGTTCTGCTGAGCCAAATAAGACAGGTCAGGGTGAAGAAGTGACAGCCAAAGAAAAGCTTACCACAAAACGGAAAAGTTATGACAAATCAGACTATAAGGCAAAAAGAAAGTGCAGCTTTATGGTTTCATGGACAAAAGAATTTCTGTGGCTGCAATATGACGAGCTATATAACCAGGGCTGCACATAAGTGGTCCGCAGGTGCGCATTCGCTGTCAAAATAAAAAAAAAAAACGCGCACAAGATATGAAGTTGCAACGCGTGTTTGCATACATAAGATTTTCTGGAGGAGGACAGACATTTGTTTAGAACTCTTAAAGATGTCGAAGAAGCTCCTTTAAGCAATTACTTTGGTGTTCCTCCACCTCCAAAGAAATGTCAGAAGGAGTCCGAACCACAAAAGAAGCGCGTATTCTCGGAAAAGTGGTTGCAGGAGGTGAGCTGGCTTCAAACAAATGATGAACGCACAGAGATGTGGTGCGGAATGTGCCGTGAAAATCCCACTCTAGCGGACAAAAACAGTGCTTTTTATATGGACGCAAACGCGCGTTGCAACTTCTTATCTGGTGCGCGTCTTTTATTTTGACAGCGAATGCGCACATGCGGACCACTTATGTGCACCCGTGTAAATAACATAATGTTCTGCCGGGTGTGTTGTTGGTTTTCTCTCGATTTCTGAGTCGACAAGCGCCTTTGTTACTGGGACCAGTCATTTTAAGAAAGGCCCCCATTAGAACCCATGAGAAATGCAAGAAATGCATTATTGCTCAGTCTGCAATATCTTTCCCAGAACAAACACCAATTGCAAATAACATACTAAAAATAAACCTGAAAAATCTGTTTAGAACAGCGTACTATGTTGCAAAGAGTGAACTACCACTGGCAAAATTAGCAGTCTTTGCAAACTTCAAAAAGCAAATGGCCTCGATCTTGGTTCCACTTGTCTCTTACCCGTGACTTCAGTGGAAATTTCAAATTCAGGATCTGACACAGACTGATTCATGTCCTACACAGTTCTTACAAGTTCATAGAAATTTCTGTTCAATTAGAACCAAGTATTTGAGTTGATGATTGTAATTTTTATACAATGTTGTAATTTGTTTTTCAACAATTTTTTGATTAATGTTTTGTTTCCGTTACAATATTATACTTTAATGTATAATATTGTAAAGGAAACAAAACAGGAAACAAAACATCAATCAAAAAATTGCTCTCTTTTTTATTCGGGCTACTTACATTTATTTTGGGCTACCAAAAACTGAAGAGTCCCTGCCCGAAGGGCTACCAGGGATTTTGAAATTTTGAGAGCCCTGAGATATATTTATTTTTTTAATTACTTTTGTTTCAGCAACATTAAATTTAAAAACTGTACTTTTGAGTTAAAATATATATTTATAATTTTAATAAATGACAAATTAAAAAGGCATGAACATTTTTTTGTATCGAAAAAATATCAAACCGTGACACCAAAGTATCGAACCGAACCGAACCGTGAATTTTGTGTATCGTTGCACCCCTAATATATATATATATATATATATATATATATATATATATATATATAATATATCTATGAATTCTGGTTGTGATTACTGACTTCGAAACGATTTTATGTGGTACACGGCTAGGGGTGGGGGGAAAAATCGATACTGTGTAGTATCGTGATATTTTGTTTGCTAATAATGTATCGATACAGGGACAGCAGAAATCGATATTTTGTTACAAAAAGGTTTTGTGGACTGGAACATGCTCTGACTTCAGAGCATGTTGATCCTTTTTCTGAGCAAGAATCCTGACACTGTCCAAATGTGTTTAACTTTTTTTTGGCAGCAATAAACATGACAGTTTACTTATTTTAATTTAAGACATGTTTTATTTTAATTAAGTTTAAAACTTTTTTATTTAATGTAAAATTATATTTTGTTTTAATTTACTTTCAAATTCTTCAGTTGCTGAATGGGCTGCATAGTTTTCATAAATTGCATAGTTCAGAATAGCTATAATTGTACCAGATGGTTGCATTCAGTTAAGTTGGACTAGACTGTAATACAAACCGTTCAGTTTGTCAACAATAAAACTGACTGAAATGAGAGAAAGACTGAGTGTGAGACTTTGATATTAGATAAAATGAATATTGATAAAGTTTACCTTTATGTACAGAATCTGAATATCGCAAAATATTTTTAAAAATTGCAATAATATCGTATCGTGCGTTAAGTATTGTGATAATATCGTATCGTGGGATGTTGGTGATTCCCACCTCTAAGTTTATTGTATAAAATAAAAAAAAAAAATAATAAGAGAATAAAAAATATTATTAATCTAATTAATAATAATCATAATATACTATATATTATAGTAATATATATAATTATAATTATATATAATATAATATTATATATAAAATAATCCAGACTTTTATCAATCCAGTCCATATTTTGCGTCATTTTCTGTCTGACGCGCCACGATCAGGGTTGCCAGTTTGGTAGAAACAGCAGGCCTGACTGAGCCGCTTGAATTTAGGGCCTAGAAAGGGAGGGCGCGGAGCCTAACAAGGCAACGAAGCGAACAAAAGGAAGTGGCTTTTACGAGCTAAATGTTTATGTTTCATATAACCTCTTTCAATGCCCGGTAAATACGCCGTTCTTATATTTGCTTTGCTCGAGGCAGGAGCTGAAGCCGTCGCGGACAACATGGATTGATCAAAGTAAGAGGTAATGAGCGGTACACCATTTGCTTAGCTTGTAGCTCGCTATGATTATGCTAGCATGCTAGGTCATCACGCAGCTTTCAGTCGCGGGTGAATTTGCGAATGTATTTGTGATAAATATTGAACCTATTACACTTAACCCACGTATTAAGTGGAATGTTTGGTTATTTGCCACACGCGACTCAATATGTTGTTTATAATGGCAAAATAATATCCATTACATAGTAGAAGCTAATAGGTGGTGCTTAAAGAGTATAAACGTGTTAAGCGTCAGTCTGACTCTGTACCAGGACTGAAACTGTTTCGCTATCGCTCGTAGTGCTGTTTTTGTTAGTGCTTTTATTGTTGCTTTGTGGCTTTTTAGGCTGTTGTTGTTGGGTTTTTTTTAATCAATAACTTATAAGTTATATTTGGAAAATAGCGTAAAGCCCTGGAGCTCAACGCATTGTCAGTATGCATAAAAAAACTAGAAATTGTGCAAGTGCAGACCCTTGAATGTGCTCGCTTCCACATAGCTGACTGTAGTTCAGTTATTCCGTTGTCTTTCTGATATGTCAACACTTAAAGGGCTTTAAAGGCTTTGTCTGGAGCTATTGCCCTACCACAAACTTTATGGATGTATGATGTAAGAGTTTCAATATTAAAATTGATACAAATCTTCTCACACACACACACACACACACACACGCACACACACACACAGTTTTCCCCTCACATATGTGTGCGTGTGTGTGATTTCTATGTTTCACAACTAATATTTCTGTAAAATTAGCAATACCACTTTATGATCAAGTCATTTTTTGGCAGACAAATTTGATAATATTCTTAGATTATTTTGCATAAAATACAAAAACAATTCATTCTTCCCTTCTTTCCCAAGTTTGTCCTGAATCAGCACCAGTTGTTAAGGTCTTCCCGGGGCCCTTTGGGGCCCAGGAAGAGGATGCATCGTGGTGGAGATAAAGACTTCCAGACCTCAGCTCGAAAGATGGGCACATCCTTGTTGTTCCAGCTCTCAGCCCATGAAAGAGAGTTAGATTTAGTATTTCTGGACCACAGCTATGCCAAACCATGGAATGCCCACCCAGATGCCAGCAGTGCTCGACCCACGAGGACGCTGTTTGTTACCCCACGTCGCCAGCCTGAACCCGTTTTGTGAGTTAAAAATGCTCCTATTAGGCTGCTTCTCTTTAGCCATGGTAAAATTAGTAATCTGATGAGCATTTTTAATCACTTGTAGTGATGCGGTATTTTTTTCTTTGTCTGCAGAGATTCAGATTCTTTAATAGATGTGGAAACTGTAACGCCAACACCTGTTCCTCTATATGATAACCACAAAGCCCTTAGTGTGATGAAGGAGTGCGAGCGGCATGTCCTGTTTGCTCGTACAGTTGCTGAGAGTCCGCCGCCCCCTGATGACTGGGAGGAACATGTAAACAAGTAAGCAACCACCTCAGTGCTCCACCTTTTATCATGTAAAGTTATCCACTTGCAGTAAATCTCTTTGAAATAATTCTGCTTCAGGACTGGATGGACAGTGGCCCAGAACAAATTGTTCAACAAGGTCATTAAAGCTCTGCAAGCAGAAAGACTAGCCCGTCTGGCCAATGAAAATGTAAGTCTTTTTTTGTTGTTTGTTTGTTTTGGGTTCTAAAGGGTACTAAGAATTATTCACAACTTCTTTGTTTGACTGTGGGAAAAGATTTAACAGTTGAAATGATATATTATATATAATAATGGCACTTTGTGCCAATATGTTGTTGCCTAATATCTAAATATGGATATACACAGCTGATGCAATAATAGAATATGTTCCTGCATCAATAAATTAAGAACATTTTTAAATGCAGAGTCTGTTCTGTTTGTGAAGCCCATAAACAAACACACTTGTATATGAATGTCTGATTTAATTATCTGTTCAGTTTTACATATGTGGCTGCAGCTAAGTTATGAGGATAAGTTACTGCTGTTTGAGATTTGCAAAAGATGCATTCAAGCCCAATGGGGGTTGGATGCTAAGATCTGTAATACATTGTAGTTCATCACAAAAAGTTTGTAGTGAAGCACCACCTGTTTGACTTACTAAATAGCAGGACAGACTTGCTGCAGCTATTCTCCCCAAGCTTCGTTAACATAATCCTCCCTTTCATTCTTATTTTTTGGCGGGGTTCATTTTAGTTTTTCTTTCAGGGCTTCAGGTGTCTAAAAGTGTTGTGCAGCCTCGCTCTGGCCCTCGGGTCATGTTTTGCCCGTGTGTGATGTAGGTTTTGAGTCCCTAGTTCTGCCCAGAGAAATTCATGCCCTATTGCTCCTTTGGTTAATAAATTTAATAAACAAAAATGAAGAAAGCTACCAGGTGATGCACTGATGAATAATCTGTTCACACAGAAGCAACTGAAAGCATGAGAGGAGAAATTTACAAAAGTTTTTTACCATATGACAACTAATTTTAGGGCTTACCATCTGAACTCGCCAGCTGAGTGATAGTGGGAATTCCTGGTTCTGTAGGTTATATTTCAGATGTAAAAATGACTGAATTGTTCTGTGATCTTGTTTCTCACAGACTTCCAATGAGCCAATTTTGCGAAGGATAGCTGTGGACAAGTGTGCGAGGAAGGTGCGGCATGCGCTGGCCAGTGTGAACTGGGACACCAAACTGACACAGTGGTTACACACCACTCTAATTGAGTCTTTAAGCCTAGCCATGCTTGCTGCATACCTGGATGTGCTGCAGACTCTCAAAAGCAAGGTACGTAATTGAATAAAGAGTATGAACTGATGTACATTTTTCTGTTAGGCCTGTGCCAGAGGGATAGGCTACAAAGTTCAACCCAGCCAGGGTTTCTTTGCCTTAGCTAGCTCAATGGGTATCAGCCAGGTTTCTTGCTTCAGGATCTGCACATGCTCACATAAAAGGGGTGTTTCACGCATCATGTTACTCTTCTTTCGCACAAAATTTCTATGATTCCAGCCTGCTTCTGAGATGTTGTCAAATGATAATGATGGTGAAATGGTGATTTAACAATCTATAAAGAACATTAGAAAGTTCAGTGCTACACTATTGCAAATAAGACAAAAGATTAATGCTGCAGAAAATTTTTAATTTGGTGATTTAGTGCTCAAAGCAGTACAATAAAGATTTTAATTCAAGGTAATTGTTTTAGCTCTCAGTGCTGCTGTGTTTTTTAGTTTTTCCCTACGGTGACGGCTGCACATTAGAACGCTGACACTTTAAACAGGATCCATTTAAACGTTAAGTATTACCGTCCCACAGACTAATAAAGGAAGTTTGGAAATTGCTTTCGTTTGCAGGCAGATTGAAGTGAAATAAATTTTATTGAATGAAGAGCTATTGCTGGTGTTAATTCTTATAGCTGCAGTTCCAGCAGTATAAAAGATAATCTGCAGTGATTTATTTTTAGTTTTTTATTTATTTATTCATTTATTTTCATTTTTCAACCCAAACTTGGCGTATAACCTGCTCCATTTTATGTGTTCAGCATAAGTTACTATGGTGATTTGGGTTAACAGAGGGCCTCATTCATGACACAGAAAACTGACTTTAAGCTCAACACGGGTCGCCATTAATTAATGAGACTGTTGATCCATTGTTACGTTCCTCTGTCTGCTTAGTTGCCCTCGCTGATCGACAGAATGTTGCTGTCATCGGCAAAGACCGGCGCTCCAAGCGCAGAGGCGCTGTCACTGCTACTGAAACGGCCATGGGACCCAGCTGTTGGAGTTCTGTCTCAAAACAAGCCGGTAAAATTAAATCAGTCGCTTTCAGTTTTCAACAGAAAACGTTTTCATTTAACTTTTTGCACATGTGACCACTGAGTCCTTTTTTTTTTTTTTTTTTCTCCTTGCAGAGCAAGCTTCCAGGATCCCCGCTCATCCTTATTGCACCATCAAGCCCAACCAATCCCGCCCTCTCCACTTCACGGAGAATGAGATTCTGGCAGTCACAGCTCTCCTTTTTTGGAAAGGTCAGATGTCCCATCAGATCAAATCTTTGTGTTTACAGAAATATTTTTCTTCCCTGTTTTGTCACAGAAAACTGCCTAAAACAGCTGTTTTTGTGTTAGGTCATCCCAATACACACTCATGTGAACAGCGGGGCCAATATTGGCATCACCCAGTGCCTAGAGCACATGTTGGGTACTGTCAGGGCCAAGGTCATGGAGGTAGGATGTTGGTTTTTATTTGATGCATTAGTGACTATAGCTGCGATGTGATTGTGATCTTTATTTTGTTAAATTCATGTAGATGAATGTGGCAGATTTTTAAATATGCACATTTCTAATTGTATTTATTAGGTAATGACTCAGATCACTGTCCAAACTAGAGATGCTATATAATGGTTTGTTTTGTTTGTTTGTTTTGTGCGTCTGTACCTGCACTGATTGCATGTTTTTATAAATGTAACCACCAGGTTCACAGTCACTTTCCTCACAAACCCATTATCCTGGTCGGCTGGAACGCTGGGGCTCTTATGGCTTGCCACGTAAGACTTTTTACCATGTATTTATCATAGTGATTTAATGTGATGGCACTAATAAAAGTGCACTATTGTCAAAGGTGTGCAATAGAATACATTTTAATAATAAACTTTGACTCCAGGTGTCCCTGATGGAGTATTTGACGGCTGTGGTCTGTCTTGGCTTCCCCCTGCTAACAGTCAATGGGCCACGTGGGGTATGACCTAAAGCATTATCTAGCTTCAGCACTGGTTTTTATCTTTGATGTTTTACTCAACTGTTAGGAAAAAAAATCTTTCTTTCTTTCTTTCTTTCTTTCTTTCTTTCTTTCTTTCTTTCTTTCTTTCTTTCTTTCTTTCTTTCTTTCTTTTAAAAATATAACTGAAAAACAAAACTTTGCTTGTGCCAGTTTTTCACATATTGCTGGTTTACAGGATGTGGATGACCCGCTCCTGGACATGAAGACACCAGTGTTGTTTGTGGTTGGCCAGAATGCGCTCCAGTGTAGCACAGAAGGAATGGAGGAGTTCAGAGAGAAGCTCAGGGCAGACAACAGCATGGTGGTGGTTGGAGGCGCGGATGACAATCTGAGGTCAGTCACAGCCTTAAAGATCTGAAAAACATAATATTTTAGCAGGGACCACAGATGATGTTCAACGAGTCAAATGCAAGTAGATTCCTCATTATGTCAGTGAAGCTTGGAAGATATTCGCTTCACAGCAAGTAAATGCCTGTATCGAACTTATCACTGGGATGAGAAAGATTTACTCAAAAGCTTAATGTACAGTTTTGTGCACAAGTCCTTCTTTTCTATATATTTAGCTTTTAAAGTGCTCATGAGCAATCGTTCTCCAGGCTTTCTGAAGGTCTCACATAGTTTTTTCAGAACAAATTGACTGAAATTTTCAGACCGATGCTTGTACCTGACCACTTTCAAAACAAATCTATGAATGGTTCAAAGATAAGAAGGCACTTAACTCAAGAGATGGCACATAAATGAGAAGTTTGCTGAGCAATAATACAGTTTTTTGGGGTTTTTTTTTTGGGGGGGGGGGGTTATATGGCATTTCTTTGCTCAAGTGTAACTACTTTGTTTGCAGCGTATATGACACTGAACTTCTTGATGAAATGTTCTGAGACCACATATATGTGATGCAAAAACGCATTTTAATAGTTTGAACAATTGATTGGCTACATGGTCAAGTATGACACTTAATATTTTTCCACTTCTGACTCTAAACCACTCCACAGAATCAATTCAGCAAAGATGAAATCAGAAGGACTGACGCAGACCATGGTGGACCGCTGCATTCAGGTGGGCCCTCATAGCTAGAAAGCATTTTTCATCTGCTGCAGTTTATATTTTGAATATTTATATTTTGTTCTTCTCTCACTGGTCTTTAGGATGAGATCGCTGACTTCCTTTCAGGTGTGCTTACACGGGCAGAGGGCCACGGTCATGGCTCAGGTGAGCTGAGAGACATGGACACAGAAAAGAAGAAAAGGCCTCGACGGGAGCTTCCCTTTGACATGGAGAGAGGACGACCATCCTCCCCTGCACTGAGAGTTCCTATCTCGCCGTCGGGATCTGAGGTAAGAAGTCTTCTGTATTTTTATGAAATAAAAAATGTTGTTTTATGAAATGATGGTAAATTATACAATGGTGTGTATCATAACTGTTATCATTCAACAGTAGCTGTTGAGTTTTAATAATAAGACCTTGTATGGTGGAATTGCAGTCATAGCATCGTATCTTATGATTGTAAGAAGCTACACTGTCTGCATATGAGTCACCAGGTGCTCATGTTCGCTTGATCCTCAGGATCTGTCTAGTGTCTGCAGCAGTCCCACATCCAGTCCCAAACCCAAGACATCTGGTCTTTCTCCGGCACAGAAGTCCAGCCTTATCACTGCTACACAGTTGCTCAAGACACACATGCAGCGCTCCGGCACAGTGCTCACTCACAAGCAGGCTCAAGGTCAGTGCACCAACTCACTCAACTCTGAATTCATTGAAAAGGGCTCTGTAAATACACTTGTGCACTGTGATCCTTGGTACCTGTGTGTACACAGTTGTCCTGTTCACCCCACTTGTTTATTTGAACTTGTTAAAACAAGCCATTGATCTTAACTCCAGTGGAATTTTTGCAGAGGTGTTACAAGGTAACCAGACAGGGTAGAATGCAAGATGTGAAAATGATGGTAGAAAACAAAGATTTTGAAGAGATTATCAAGTCACGACATCTGATGGGGGAAGATGGAACGTGACTGAAATACTTTCCTCTCATCCTCTTGTCTCTTCTCTTCCTACAACTTTCCTTTCCGGCTCTTTTTTCCAATTCATTCCAGCTCAGTTTGCTGCTTTTATGAAACAAAACATGCTTGTGAGGAAAAATCTTCCTCCTGGCACTCCTCCTTGTATTTTTGGTAAGTGTCTATCCCTCTTCTTTCCTTTTTTCTTTCCTCTTTCCCTTTCACTCTTCTTCCTTTGTTTCCGCTGCTTTAATTGTAGACTAATGTGACTACTTTACTGCATTAAAACTTTATAAAGCTTTTGAGAGCAAATATTAACTTCAAAGCTTGGGGTTAGTTAAGGATAAAATACCACAGGTTCATGTCACTTCAGTACTTCACTGATAGTTGTGTGTTCGTCTGTGTGTTTGTCTGTGCCGTGCAGTGCCGGTGACCTCTGATCAGATGGAGGGCCTGGACAGAGATGAACTGCGGTCCCATGGCAAGAGGAGGCAGACACCTAGTCCCACTCCAAGCAAAGCCTCCAAGAGAGCAAAGATCAAGGTTACTATTGTTTCCCAAAGCGATTCAGCAGGGGGCAGCCTCAGTCCTGCTGCACATGAAGGTACAAAACCTGGGATCCTTTAACAGTGGTTTGATTTAGGAGTATTGGTAATCAGAAATTGTGTAAATTGGTGCTGATACTCATGAAATTTTGATATTCTTGATATTAAAGATGATGATAAACTAAACTGGTTCACACACAACAAGCTGACACTTGCTCGGCGTTGTATCTAGACTAAACAACCACAAGGGTCGACTTCTGAATGTCACCCGTAGCCCAGCCCGCGCACTTCCCTGCTCTCCACACAACACTTTTAGCATATGCAGTCATGAAAAAACTCACTGTCAGGGGAAAAAAAATCCACAGTCCAATAGACCAACTTTGGATAATTGCAGTTTAAACCAGATGAAACCAGCAAGTAGGAAGGCCTAAATGTAGCAACCAGATGAAGGACTACTCCACTGGCAGCATCTAAGTAAACAAACAGCTGGCAATAGCGTTCACTGTTAAATGACCACAGCTGCATATAAAACCTCTGGTCTAAGTGAGGGAGGTCAAGCTCACTTTCTATCAAGTTACTTTGATCTGAAGTGGGCTTGACCAGTAAATCATCTTACTGTCAGTTTAAAGAAGATTAGCTACATATTTAATTTCTGAGATGTCTTAACCCTCTGGGGTCGACGGACGCACCGGCGCGTCAAAATCACATGACCAATTTAAGACAACACGGCTACAAGATGCAGCGACCCAGAGTCTCCAATTCAACTTGGACTTCAAACTATATGCCAGTTTTTAAATTGTGTCGATGGGCCACGTAACACCAGAGTTATGATTAAAAAAATACACGCGATGTTTCTTTCTGAACAAAACAGCGGTGTGCACAGCAGAAAGAAACGGTAAAAATGGCGTTTTCTAAGGACAGTGCTAGCAAACACTCTCCGCTTGCGAGTGAAAAAATAAAAAACACCCGTTCCCTATTGGTGTTAAAGTGTACCATGTGAGCCAATCAAAAAATGATATGGCAGCATGTGGCACTTGGTTGTTTAGGGAGAAGGAGAAGTTTTAGGGGTGACGCCCGCGAGAGAAATCGGGCGACTGAAAGAAAGAGAGAGGGCGAGTTTTCACATGTGAGACATTAGTGACATTTAGCGTTTTTGGAGGCTATAGTTACTGTATTGTGTACTTTTTGTTTTGTGTGTCAGGTATACTAGCGAATGTCACATTTCCTCCAAAAAAGCCACCAAGGGCAGATTCCAGTGTAAACGCTGTGTCCACATAGAAAACTGGACCGATACACCTCCTGTTGTCAGAGCTGCAGGGTTTAGGCCAGGGTTGTGGCCAGATTTAGGTAAATAGTACCATATAACTTTCTTGTTTGCCAAACGTGCACAATTTTTAGAAATGTATAATTTCTATTTGGATTTCAAGTTATGAAAATGATTCGTTAAACACGTTAAATATTTAAAATGAAACATTTTTGTCTGAGTTTAGATCAATTGTGCTAATATAGTATGTCAAAATGAAAAAACAACTCCAATGCCAGATATTCGAGGTTGTGCTGAAAATAATGATACCAAACAAGGCAAGATAAACAGTTTTTTAAATGTGAAATGTAGAGGTGAAATCAAAAGTAATCAAAAACGGCCAATTATACCCTGGACCCCAGAGGGTTAATATAAGATTTTTTAAAAACGTATAGCTTCAACAGTGTATCTAAGTTTTTCTGTCCAATAAATATGTAAAATTACAGAAAAGGTTCTGATAGTTTATAGCCCAAAGTAGTCTGTAGTTATAAAACATCATTTTTGTTAAAAATAAATTTAAGTGAAGTTTCTATAGATGGTAAAAAACTGTTATTTTTCTCTAAAATAATTATTCATCTGCTGCTTAAATCAGTGCAACATGGACATTCCCAAAATGGCCAAAAAATGCCAACTGCTTTGAATTGCACTAGATGGATTAATTATTTACTTGGTTGAATTGTCAGTGAGGCAAACCACTTAGTTTGTGAAATAAAATTTCAATAAACAGCCTTAAAAAAAAACAAAAAAACACACAGACACACACAAAAAGAAGGCAGTGACTGATTCAGCCAATCAGCAATACATTCCTGCAGTCACCCACTATAAGGTGTTGGGTAATTTGCCTCTCATGTCATACATAGCTTCATACAAACTTGAATCTTTAAACACTGAGAGAACTTGTCTGGGCTTTTTTGTTTGTTTTTGTCAGAATAAAAAGATATAGTTCATTCTTTCATGCGTTGATTAAAATCACTTGTGGGCAGACAGATGCTTTGAGCAGGTTGAGTTCATTCAACTGTGCAGATGAACAATGTGTTTTTTGTTGATTATGCATTATTAAATTTAAACTAGGGCTTTGCTAAGCCTTTTATTTTGAAAAAACAAACATTCTGCCTGTCATTAATGACCAGGTGGTTGTTTTGAGATTCACCCTTTTTCTAGAAATGATCATAATTTATTTGTTGTTTTTTGTTTTTGTGTTCCTTTTTTGTTTTTACCAAAGCGAGATAACTGACTGTCCTTCATATTTTCTTTTTTTTCTTTTTTTTTCTTCTTGCAGTGGGTGTCTCAGGAAAGCCCTTAACTGTGACAATGGGACAGACTGTAGCTGGTGCCAAGGAGCTGTCTGGACTTCTTACAGGCCAACGGTAAGCAAGCCAGCGCCATAACACACACACACACACACACACACACACACACACACACACACACACACACAGACGAATTGAGATTGGAGCACTTGAAACCCTAACTATCCCTACACCCACATCCACTCCCACTTGGTGGGGTGTCTGGTGCAGAGGGATTGGTTAGAGGTGTACTTGGAGTTTGGGAGCTGAGTGATGGCCAAAGCAGCACTTGCTGGGGTAGCTCCTGAGTAGACTGGTGGTTATGTGTGTCACTGCAGGTCTGGTAGTCTCTCAGAGGTGTCTGGTGCCCTGTCCCCAGGCTCCAGCTCATTCAGCAGCGTGCAGCCTTGCATGGTGTCGGGGCCTTCCACACCAGCCCAGGCGCAAGCTCCAGCCACTGCCCAAGGTATCTTCGTCTTGTCCTGCCTTGCACGCTTGTTTGCACTCTTAATTGTGCAGCTGATCTCAACATAGTGACATCAAAACACAAGTGCAGTTCTGCTTGGTTTTATTGTGTGGGATCCAGTTTGATCGCTGAGCTGAGAATTTGGACAACATGTTTTAGCAAACATCATCATTGATCACCTCTTGCACCATCGCTGTCAGTCACTGACCCAAACCTTGCCCTGGCTATCGTGTGTGTGTGTGTGTGTGTGTGTGTGTGTGTGTTGTTGTGTGTGTGTGTGTGCGTGTGTGTGTGTGTGTGAGTGTGGTGTGTGGGTGTGTGTGTGTGTGTGTGTGTGTGTGGTGTGCGATCGTGTTTGTGCGCTTGGAATGTTTTTGTTTTTTTTTCCCTTAATAATCTCTGTGATGTTTCGTTGGGATTGATTTAACCCAATCAATGATTGATCTGTGTGTGTGCAGCACCTTCCGCCAGCAGTCTTCTACAAGGCCTAAGTTTCAGTCTTCAGGAGATCGTCACCAAAGCTCCTAACGTTCCCTCAACAGCAGCCAACACAGGTGGCACCCAGGTAACACTTGGAGTGGTTGTATTCGATTCCTAAACCAGATTTTGAACCATCCATTTGCGATAAATTATGTAGACTATTTATAACACTCAAAGAGGGTTTTATTTATTTTTATTTTTTTAAAGTGTGTAGTTATGTGTTAATCTATTTTTTTGAATATGCCACATTTGTAATTGGTTACCCAAATGATTAAAAGAACTGAAAACACACAGATCTAGTGGAACTTCCATGGTTTAGGTACATAAAAGAGAAACTGGAGCATATGTTTTATTGCCAAGGAAAAACTTTTTTTTTTTGTTAATAGACGTCGTCATCGCGTCTAATCGGCTTCAATACTACCAAACTGCTTTTTTTTTTTTTTCTTTCCTTTTTTCCTTTTAAGTGACCTAATGGAATAAAAGATGATAAAATCATCTTTCCTGTCCACTCATCTTCCCTCATGCTGTTTGTGCCATTCTACAGGGTCCGGTCCTGAGCTCCGCCGGTACCAGCAGCAGTGCTCTGCTCCGGGCAGTGCCTGTGGTCACCACAGGAGGAGTGGCTAAAAACACCGCCATCCATCAGCTGCTCACTAATGGTGGGCTGGCCAAACTTGCTAGCAGCTTGCCTGGCTTGGCGCACATCACTAACCAGACCACTGGTATGTCTCGAGCTGCCAAGACACGACGGCCACGTTGAATGCCCAGAGTTTGTTCATCCTTTGTTTTGGAAACAGTAGTGCAGGAGGTCTGTAGGCCTGACGTAGAGGAATGTAGAGGACATCTCTGATACTTGCAGAGATGGTTTGCCTGGAATGAGCCTAACTGTTGTAAGGTTTGCAGAGGAATGTGCAGCTTACACGTACAGCAGCCAATGGCAGATTAGTGGCGTACATGTTTTCATGTTCACGGAATGGAATTTAGAGTTTCCATCTGATGTCGGACACACAAAGGCATGAAACAGTTTGATCCTGAATAATTGTGAATTAAGTTAAGATCAATGTTAAGAGGGTTGACCAAATTTTAATAAGACTCCTGTTTTTCAGTCAAAACTGCTTTCTGCGTCAGCTTTGTTTGTTCAAGCGATCATTTCATGTTTGTTTCTTTTGTTTTGTAAACCCATTAAATCACCTGCTTTCAATTATTCATTTATATTAACGCTGACCTCCTAGAGAGTTGTGTTGAGAAGCAATAACGTTGGCACATGGCATTACCCAAGCTGTTCCTGTTGTAATAAAGACTGGAATCAAACTTGTGTTTTCATTGTCGTCTTGTTGTCATTTTATTTTGAGTGTAAATCAGTTGGCTTTCTCACCCCTTTCACTTACCTGAACCTCCAAATTTGCTTTTACCTTTCATGGTCATCTAATATCATGAACGTGCTTTAAAAAAAACAACAACAACAGCTATCCTTTAGATGACTTGCATCACAGCATGTTTGCAGCAAATTATTATTTAGTCTAATCTGGTGTATTTGGACGTAAATCATTTATAGCTTGTTATTTCTGTGTATGTTGGTGTTTGTTGTCAGGAGGGCAGAAAGCCCCCACTTCTATAACGGTGACCCTTCGAGGAGCACATCCGAGTAGAGTGGGATCTGTCAGCCAAGCTGGTGGTGAAGCTGTGACTTCAGCTCGTACCCATGAGCCCAAGGTGCGCCTCAGTTCAGCACCTAAACAGACACACTTAACTTGGAGCTTTTTCTCTCCCCCTTATTCTTGGTTACATGTTTTTCTGACTAACACAAAGTTTGACAGATTTCTGTTATCACTGCAAATGTTCATGCAGCCCATTAAAATTTTCAGTTTGATAGCTTGTAATGGTTCTCACTGACATGCCACCCCAGTGCCTACTTTTAAAATCATTTTGTTGTCACTAGTCTATAATTTGTTGTGGAGGCAGTCTAGAAAATAATTACCGGCTTTATTGTATAGCCTTTGACCCAGTTGTTCACAGTATCTTGTAGCCTTGTGTATTTTAGGTCACATACAGCCACTGGGGCATAAACTGAGGGCTGAAGGTGCATTAACAGAAAAACACTGAAGTGTTTGTTAGAAATGACGCACTGAGGTGAAAGTGTCAGTTACAGCTTTTCTTTTTCATGAAGAGATGACAGCGTTTGAGGAAACGGGCAAAAGTTAAAAAAAGCAAGTGAATTTCTTTCACTTTCTTAATATTTTGCCTTCACATAGCCAGACTTTCTTTTTACTCATTTTGAGTCCAGTCCTTATACCTGACCATTTTCTGAGAAAGTTGTTCGTTTGTTAAGCCACTTAACACTGACATACGAAGCATGCAGGCGAAAAAGGCACCTACATGAAGGGCTCAACCAACATTGTGTGTACGCATGAGAGAAAACTTAGCAAAGATCTATTCCTAAATCATATCTTTAGGCAATCTGTTACTAGCAGTTTGTCGTTAAAACACATTTGTTCCCATTTCTTTGTTTGAATCAATGAAAAATGTCAAAAATAATATAGTTTAACAGGCACACTATTTTGCACCACCAGGGTAATTATGTACATGTATATATCACTCATCATGATGTGCAACCTATGGACGTCATGTTCTTTAGATATAGGAAAAAATTCAGCAAAGAACTGACACAGGATCTGAGAGATACATCTGGCCCTTGAGCTCATCCATCTGCTGTTGACTAAAGTCTCGTCAGAAATGGTCTCAGTGGCTGTCAAGAAGCCATTCTTAAGGAAAGGTTGAGATATGGCAAAGTGCACAAGAACTGGTCTCATGGAGTAATGAACACAAATATTTGTTTTTATTTCTGGTTTAGATTGTCATGGGAATTTTTCAGCATGACAATGATCTCATACACACTTCTAATAAAGTAAAAGAAAAACAATTGATCACTATTAATCATGGATTGGCTTCCCCAGAGCCCAGACTTAAACATTATTGAAGCGGTGTGGGATCAGTTTGACAGAGACCAAAACAAAAGGCAGCTTTGAATGTGCTTACAGAAAGCTGGAGAACTATTCCTGAAGACTAGTTAAAGAAATAAGAGGAATGCTTACCTAAGGAAGTTCAGACTGCTCAAGAATAAAGGTGGCCACACCAAATATTGACTTTGAAGCTTGTTAAAACAGTGCAAAAATCTTTTTTCTTTTTTTGCCTTATTTCCATATATGTTTGCATGTTTTAGTAAATCACCATATCCATTAAATCCCCATTTTCCATAGCAAAACATAAAGCACTGAGAGGTGGCTCGAGACCTTTGCGCAGCACTGTAGAAATAAACACAAAATCCTCCCATGCCTTGTCTTTTTCAGATAAGTATTAGAGTGTGGATCACAGTGTGCTCCACTTCTGAAACTGGATGCAGCTGAAAATATCTCAATATTATATCTGAGGATTCCGAGCAGACTTTAAAGTAAATGTCAAACATGTTATTGCCCCGAAGAATTTAATATAAACCAAGAATGGACTGAGAGTTAATTAATTGCACTGTGCCCTTTTGCAGCACTGAAATCTCGGCTCACTGTGGGCAAATCCCTGATGCAAGATGGTGATGTGCAAAAGTACCTTAGGAGCCACAGCCTGCTGATGAGACTGCTCCCTCCCCATAGTGACGAACACACCGCCGCACAGTGTGCAGAAGACCACGCCTCACAGAGGGCTCCCCTGTGGAGATGGTGGGAAAAGGCCAGGCAGTTGCTTTCAGTTGTGGACAAGTCCGAGTCTGTGCTGGATAGAACAGGCACTGCTAACTTCAGGGGATGTCGTCGTGCTACAGCCTGCACTCCTTTATTACACCTTTGACTTTAAACTGACAGCATGATCACATGTTCTTGGGAGAAAATTATATGCTGAAGGTAAACTGTAAACTACCTGGAGTGTGGTGGTGCAGCCCAGGTAAAGCCTACAAAAGGACAGCTGTGCATCTCAACAAAGATAATGTTTGAAGTCCTTAGCGTACTCAGAATATATTGAGTTCTATCATTGCTGTATCCATATATGTCCATATAGATCCAATAACAGTAATCCATATAATAAGTGTCTGTCATAATTGTTTCTTTTTATGTAGCAATTTTAATAATAATATAATTTGATGTAATGTGCTTCTGAAAGGGAGACGCGTATTGCGATGCTTAGTTTGAGGTATTTGCACTTGTAAAACTCCAAGCTTTTGTTGCACTCGTTTCCACCTGAACCTGTTTTTCTATAGCCTCAAACACTGGACCAGGGTACTGCTTCCCATCTGCACCGTCTCATGACTTCACTGCACGCAGAGCTTATGTTTGAAATAAACATATTTACCTGAATGCAATGCTTTTGCTTTACTTAGCTAATGTAAACATTTAGTCTTGTGTGCTAAACACTTGTAGCACTGAGCGAGCTGAGAAACTCCGCTCTTGTTCAAAATGTTATGGAGGAGCTCGCTCCAATGCGTGATAGTCGCACTGCTGTGTTTACAGCCGCAGCATAAATACAGCCCACTTATTGTAGACGACATCCTGTCAGCAGTCAGATAAGATATAGATAGGAGTGTCTCTCTTCCTCTGTATGTAAACCTTTGTATACATTAGATAGCATGAAGGATCCCATTTAGACAACAGCAGCTGCTGGTATTTCCTCACATCATTGCCACCAGCCCCTCTTGAAGCAATCCATCTGAGATTTAGTCATCCAATCACGTCTGCAGGCCAGCTTTACTGTCCTGCAGACATTGAAGGTGAAGTACAGTGAGAATAGAAGTGTTTTACTTACACTTTACACTTCATGTTAGTAAAGCAGGCAAAACAATGAAGCAGGATGTGTGTATATTCACAGGTACAAATATGTAACATATTTTTTGTACAAGGCCCGAACAGCGCAGGGGGAAATCAGCAGTATTGGAAAGATGGAATGTGAATGAAAAGCGGTAACAGAATGAATTTAATGGTTAATATGTGTAAGCTTTAGGTCCCTCATGCTACAAGCATAAATAACATAAAAGAATGAACAAACTATTAATATCCAACACGAACTCAAGAAATGCTCCACAAAAACTGGATAGGTGGAAAAGTGGTTCATCGGAGGACTTCAGTTGGAATCTGTTGGGTTTTTTTATCGCTGCTTGAAGCACAAATGAGATATGATGTCATGAGGAAGAAACTGATCCAACTTACACAGATAGAATAAAGCAAGCTGTGACACATGGCATCTTACCATGCACTGTCTCAGGGCTCCCTTTTTTTCTAGGATTAAGAAAGCTTATACATTTTTCATTTTAGTAGCTTGTAATTAAATAATAATAATAATTATAACAAACTGCATGTGGAAGCTTCTTTCTGCCACTGAAATAAATAAATTACCATTTAAAATTTTGGGCTATTATTCTACAATAAACAACATAATAATACATTGCAATAATACACATTTTTGTATTTTTTTTCTATGGCAAAAAACCCCAAACAAGTTTCCATAAACCAAACCCTGTACAGGTATGAAGTCACAAGGAATAAACAGACTTATAGAGTGGATGAAATTTCCATTGGTAGGATAAAATAAATGGGCTGGTTCTTATATAGTGCTTTTCTACTCTATCCGAGCACTCAAAGCACTACAGAAAACAAGCCTTCCTCACCTATTCATACACTTCTGTCCATGCTTTTTGTCTGACATTCACACTCCAATGGATGCATCAACTTGAGCTTCAGTATCTTCCCCAGGGATGTTTTGGCATGTAGACAGGAGCAGCCAGGGCTCGAACAACCAGCGGGTTAGTAGATCACCTGCTCCACATTTTGACTTACAGCCACCCTAGAGCACCTGTCAGGTACAGCCTACCCTTCAGGGTTCAGGGCCACACGTTTTACTAAGATTAACAAACCTTCTGCTGGAAATAAGAATAATAATAACTTGAAATTTCAAGTTATTTTCTCAGAAGTTTGATAACATCGAAATTTTGACTTATGATTGTCTTTTTTTCCCCTCACTAGCGGAAACAAGCGTCCCACATCTCAGACTGTCCTCCGTGGTTATCTCTTCTTTGTTGTTGTTTTTTATTTTTACTTTTTTTATTTTAACTCTTTGTGAATCTGTCTAAATGTGTTCCGTACATTACCGACAGGTGGCGCACTAACCGCTTCTGTTTCGCTCGTGACTCCTTTACTTCAGAAGGGTCTGTTTGTTTGTTTGCGCGTGCATGTCATAATGCGAGTGGGCGGCCGTTCGGTAGTGTGCGCGTGTGAATAATTGCGCTCGTGGAAGTAAAGGGAGAGGGGGAAACAACGTGGAGTGTAAAAACAAAGAAAAAATCACGAATTTACGCGCAGAGTGCGGCTGAACTTTTATAAACCGGGGGGTGTTTACAAAGCGGTGGTTCCGGGGAGATCATTCGGGTCTCTGACCGTGTGTATAGCAGAGCAGAGGGGAAACTACCGTCACTATAATAATTATCCACAAAGAGACATTCCCGGTCGGCCAGTTTCTCGTCACTCACACGCTGTTCACGCGCAGACAAGGTAACAATAAAAATTCACACGTGCATCTGTGGTAATTGGGGATTTTCTCCGCCCCTGCTGGGCTGCCATATCATCAAAGTTTCTCGGGCAGTCCTCCGCACTAGCCCTAAGCTCCGGCTGGATGAGAGAAATCACTGCCCCCAGAGCCAAGAAAACACCGGAGGGAGGCTGGATTTAAAACCCGCCCTCCAGAGGGATCTCGTCCCCCCCGACCAAAAAAGAAAAAAAGAAAAAAGAAAAGAAAAGAGAAAAACCTCCCATTTTCTCTCACTCTATTTCTCTTTCCCACTTCTGTCTCTCTTTCCCTCTGTCCCTCTCTTCTCCTCTACCTTTATCCCTCGCCTTTCGCCGTTTCCCCTCCACAAACATGGATCTCTCGGCGAGGTGTTTGGTTCTTCTATCATGTCTTGGCGTGATATTGGCGATCGATTTGGACGCGATTGATCCAGGCTACTATGTGGAGCCCACTGCCACATCAGAGACGATCGACTACAAGGATCCCTGCAAAGCTGGTGAGATTTGATTTGTCATCGTTTTTTCTTTTTCTTGTACTGTGTATGATTTTCTTTTTTAAAAACCATATTTATGTGGAGGTAAAAAAAAAAAAATGCCACGACTCAACGTGGAGCTCGCACAGAGCGGCCAGAGCAACGCTTTTGGAGAGATGACAGTAGTGGATGTAGTTTTTAAAAGGCTTGAGGGAACATTGTGTGCAATTGTTTTGTAGTAAGTGACATAGTTTCTGCAGTTTGAGCCATCCGAGGCGTACACAGTATAACCCAGCTCAAAGAGCGGCTCCACGGATCGTAGGGATGAAAACGCATCGATTGAAGGCTTTCTGTGTGCATTTCGCGACACATGAAAAGTTTTCTGGGGGGGTTTAGTTTTCGGTTGAAAAAGTTGGAGCCTGCTGTTTGCACTCGTGCTTAAAAATGTGATCAAATCCCTCCTGCAGGCTGTCTCCTCTGTTATATACTTAAAAATAAAATAAAAGTCTGCGCTGTTGGGGAAACAAAGGATTTTTACACTTTGATTTGCAGACTTCTTCTCCCTTTGCTGGCCGCTTTTGTGAGTGCACAGATCTCCTCTCGGTTTTTTTTTTTCTTTCCCTACCGGTTGTTTGCACGGCCACTTAAAACAAAGTGGAGGAGGGGAGAAAGTAGAGTACAGTCGAGTTTAGATATTTATGCACATATTTTTCTGCTGGCGGTTGTCTTTATTTGTTGCAGTACAGGGAAGAAGTAAGCCTCCACTCCTCCACAGTAAGAGCTAAAAAAACCCCCAAATCATAAATTTACAGTACTGTACAGTAACTGCATTAAGTGTGAGTATTTAAACTGTAAAGAAGACACAGGCTCCAAAGGGGAAGCTGAATAATTCAACAGACTATCTCAGATCTGGGAACACTGACACAAAAGTTAAAAAAGCTTTGGATTGCTGGAGCAAATTCAGGACGACTGTGATTTCAAGTTGGCCTTATTTCCTTGCAAATATTTCATGAAATGACCTGAGTGGCATAACTTTCCACAGCAGCCATTTTGACATGTCCTTGCAGGGTTAACATAGGTGTAATTAATATAAGCCCATGTAGACCAGTTCCATTCAGATGGGGACAAAAACCCCTGGCTTTGGCTTGCACGGGCGAACTGGGATCGCTGTGACACACTAAATTTGAGCTTAATTATTACTTACTTTTTTTTTTCTTTTTTTTTTTTTATCAATTAGACCTGTGTTTACTTTGGGTTACATGTCAAAATGGCTGCTGTGAAAAAGTGCCTGTTTTGGACCCAT